GTCTGTGAATTAGTGGTTGGGATTTTCAGTGGCTCTTTCTGCAGGTTACATTGTTATGCCAGTAGGTGGCGGCAAGTAACAAGTGAATCAGTTGAATCACTCAGTCAACTGAAAAGCAGATTCACTTAGGAACGAAACAACTGACTGTTTTATGAGTGTCATTGAATTATTAATTCAAACGATTCATTCAAAACTCTGATTCTCTCACGAGTTTCACAATTTGAGTTGAATTACTGAAATAAATGAACTTTTCCATGACATTCTAATTTATTGAGATGCACCTGTATATCTTTTTTCTCAGTAAAAATTACCTCAGAGGACTTCGGTATTAATGTTGGTATTAATCACAAAATAAAAGACTGTACATTATCCCTTACATATCCTTATCTTATCTAGCACTGCTCTGTGTTGCTAGCTATAATGAATTTCTTGAGGCTGTAAGTGTGTGTTTAACAAATTAATTTTTATGTTGAATTTCTCTCATTACTATCTAGATTAGACCACATTAAATGTTGTGTTCTTATCAGTCACATATAGTTATCAGAGAATGACGTGATAGTGGTTTTCTTGAGAAAACAAGAATAATTGAGCATATTCGCATTTGAAAACGGAAGCCATACACGCACAGGGGTTAGTTCCTGCGTAGTTACACAGCCATCTGTCCATATCCCATTGGCACACTATAGACCCTGTACAGCATCGCTGCCCTGATCTCTGTGTGGTTCAGTGGTTCATCCCATCAAGAAGAGACTAGCTCTTCCCAGAGAGACATAATGGCTATAGACTGGAAGAAAGGACTTCTCATTTCCCTGTCTGACTGATGAACATCATAATGGTGTGAGATCATGTATATTACCAAACTCATCCCTACATGCTGAGATGCCAGTATTATTTCATTTGTAGAAGACTACTGATATGTCTGAAGCTTTAATGACAACATAAAACCCCACAAAACTCATAAAGAAACTCCAATATATTAACTCTCGTCATTGCATATTAATGCCCAGTATTGTTCTTTCCTGAGCGCAAGCCTATAAAATGTCCAAGTTTATAAAAACAAAACTGGACACAGCAGTGAGGGATTTTCACCACCACATCATCCTTTTCAACTGATGCGCAGATAATGAAATGATGTTTGTTGCAGTTTAATCCGACATAGTAATCCCGTCGCTCGCAATCTGCTAGTGCTTCTCAATCCTAGTCCTGGAGGGCCCCAGCTCTGCACGTTTTGGATGTGTCCTTTATCTGACACACCCAGTTCCCTTCTTGCAGTCTCTACTAATGAGTTGATGATATAAATCTAAGAGAGACGCACAAAATGTACAATGATGGGGTCCAGAATTGAGAATGACTGAATTAGTCACTGCAAATCCTTTTGAAGGCTATTAAATACTAACAGTGACTAAAGCATACAGTCCCATCAATTACAGAAATATGAGAGCATGCTTACTCAATTCAGTCACATGTGATGATCACAATGCGATTTATTGCTATAAGTATGCTTATACACATAAGGAATTTGACTTGGTGAAGCTTCCAGTACACATTGAAAAATATATAACATTAAAAAACAAGACACAGATAATAAAATGAAGTGAATTATACATATACGTGTGTGTGTGACAAGACAAACAATATATATATATATATATATATATATATATGTGTGTGTGTGTGTGTGTGTGTACTATGTATTCTATATGCAGGTACAATTATGAAAGAATGTGAATAAGAAAGGGGCAGAATTTGTTTTTATAAAAGCATGTGTTAGGTACTGCACATAATTTTATATGTAAGGGCCAAAAACCTATTCAAAAACATATTCACCTGTTCTCCCCAAAACAGTATCAGAGGAATAGAATAATAAAAATTGTAATAATTTATTTTTATTTTTTACAGTTTTTCTCTATTGCTAACACACAATTCATGAAGCAATTCACCATTTTCTCACAACTATAAACACAATCTCAAAACTACACACCAACATGTGAAAACTTCAAACTTCCAGATCAAAATCAAATACTTTAGTCAAAAACATGTTCTCTTTTGTCAGACTCAGATGACACACAAACCTGACAAATACACCTACTATTTTCCTGCCTAGAGAACACTAGTGAGATCAATTCAAAACACTGTTACAAAAACCTCCTTTTGGGAAATAGGAATCCTTTTGCTAATCAATGTCTGTTACAGAAATAGAGGGATGCACATACAGTAAAATTCAGCAATAAACTTTAAGAAAAGTTTGCTTTCATTACACTACTGTAAAGAGATCTTACAGTAGATGAAAAGCACTACAAGAGAAAAATTCAAAGACCAAACAACTGAATATACACTAAACACACATTGGAATATGTCAGTTACTTTACGGAAATAAATAATGAATGTATAAACAAACAAATAAATTAATTAATTTATTTATTAATTCCTTCAGCATCCTCTGCCAAATTGCATTACAGTATTGGTAATATCCTTATTTGTTATATCGGTTTCTTAGTCTTCTGACAAAAGACTTCTCTGCCTCACCTAGACAGTCATCTCTCAGTTCTGCAAAAATAGAGGACTACTTGAAAGGACTACTTGGCTACAAATCAATTCAACAGTAATTAGTTTGAGGGTGTACAACTTGTTCTACAGTATTTACTGTACATAGAATAATGAAAGTTCTCTCATCTGAAGTACTGCTACTATTTATATTAATTATAAATATATTGTACAGGTGCATCTCAATAAATTAGAATGTCGTGGAAAAGTTAATTTATTTCAGTAATTCAACTCAAATTGTGAAACTCGTGTATTAAATAAATTCAATGCACACAGACTGAAGTAGTTTAAGTCTTTGGTTCTTTTAATTGTGATGATTTTGGCTCACATTTAACAAAAACCCACCAATTCACTATCTCAACAAATTAGAATATGGTGACATGCCAATCAGCTAATCAACTCAAAACACCTGCAAAGGTTTCCTGAGCCTTCAAAATGGTCTCTCAGTTTATTCTCATTCACTTAAACACTTATCACACTGTGATGCATTTGTGCTGCAAAATGCTAAACACAAGCGGCAAAAGTTAAACAACTAAAGCACAGTTGTCATCGTTTACACACAACGATTCAAAATTGTTCACACTTATTTCTAATGATGTGATCAAACCAACTGTACAAAATATGAGTTGGTTCAGAGTGCACAAGTGGCACAGGTGACTGAATGTTGATACAAACAATAGATGGAAACAATCTGAGAAGGAGAGGAGGGAGAGTACATGTAAGAAGTGGAGGATGAGGAGAGAAAGAGTAAGGTTTAGAGAGTGTTATCAAGGCTGGATCTGTCAGACCCGGGGTTTTTTTCTCTTTGTTTAGCAAAAAAGTCCACATTTCTTGTTATGTGGACAAAGTCCTCAGGCCGGACTCAAGCACAAAGACATGATGCTGAGACAGAATGAATCTCTCCTTGACCCTGATTTTACAATTGCACAACTTACAGTATTTGAGTGTACTGTAACATACTATTCATTTAGAGTTTTATTTGACATTTTTGGCCTTTGCAGTATTTTTGCTGTATCCAAGTGCTGAATATATACAAACATTCAGTACTATTCAATATTCAGCACAATACTGTTCTTCAGTAGGCCTATACAAGATATTCACCTACTCAGTTGCAATTACTATACTTTTTTACAGAATTGCAAAATTGTTTACTCAATACAATATACTTTTTTCTGTATGTTCTGGATGCGGTGTTATCCATTTCTCTGAGCACAATACTATTCTTGCAGTACATACAGTAGGCCTATACAATATATTCACCTTACTCAGTTGCAATTACTATACTTTTTTTTACAAAATTGCAAAGTTGTTTACTCAATAGAATATACTTGTTTCTGTAATGTTCTGGATGCTGTGTTCTCCATTTTTCTCTGTAGTGTCTAATGAATGCTCTGTAGTGTTTATTTTATTGACTCATGTGTGTGTGATCTGAGAGCACCGTTTGATTTTGAGTGCAAGTGAAATGGTTTTGCAGTGATTGTTTGATTTTGATGGAAGAGTCAGAGGTTTCGTGAATTTACTTTGAGTAGTTGGATTTGTGTTTAAGGTTTTGAGAAAATTAGTGATGGTTTCAAGAAATGTGTTTTAGCAATTCAGAAAAACTATAATTATATTGTGTGTTTATGTTTCCTGAATGAGAACATGGTTAAGCCTGTGCAAAATTAAGGCGTTTTTGTGTAGAGTTTTGCAGAAAACACTGAGCAAATTGGAACGTGTGTACAAACAGTTGAAATGTGTTAAAAGTTTTGAGAAACGTGTCTTTGTTTCGAGAACTGTATGAATGGATTGGAAAATTGGGCAAAATTAATCAGTTATAGTGTGTTAGCAATCGAGAAAAACTGTCAGGTTTTGCCTACATTGCGGGGCCTTATGAAGAAGGGGCCCCAATAAGGTCCAAAAGGGCATATCCTACTCATTTTGTCCTGGGAAGAGGGGTTAAAATGTAGTCCCAGGCACTGTGAATTTTAGTGATGCACCAATTCACATGCATTGCGGGGACCAGCCAATGGTCACAAGAAAAATGGCTAATTAAACGTATTAAATATTTTTAAATTAAGATCTAAAGTGTAGACATGTTTGTGTGAGGGTTGACAGAAAATATTATTAACGCTGTAGCTATAAACACAACAGAAGTAAATGTGTGTGTGTGTGAGAGAGAGAGAGAGAGAGAGAGAGAGAGAGAGAGAGAGAGAGAGAGAGAGAGAGA